TTGTTTACCACCAGCGATGACGGCAGCGACTGAGTCTGATGACATTTGATATGACAGGGAAACGGACAGTTCACCTGTTATGTGATAGAGAAGTTCCGCGAACCCGAGTATGAGTGGCGCTAGTGTTCTAACGTATTTTAATTTGAATTTTTGTGCAGAAAATTAATGTATTTTTGTTCTAGAATTCATGTCGGTTTGTCGGTGGTTCTACGCCAAATGATGAATCGAAAAAGTTCGACTTTATCCGATTTGCATGAGTGTGTGTTATGGGCAATCATTCACATTTTTGCAAAAAATCGGCTATTTTGAATCTCGTTTTGTATTTCAAAATGGCGTCCTTGTCATTTTTCAATAAATTGTAGCACGAAAAAATCACTTTTGATCAAAATAACGTCTGAGACAAAAATTTAGAGAAACGTTAAGTCTTAATGGGGGAAAAATACACTGTGTTTTTTGTTTTAGTAATTTTGAGTAAAAATTCCAAATAAAGTGCTAAAACTCAAATATCCCAAAAAGTATATATTCAAAGTTTGTTTGGAAATGCTATCGAACATGAAGCTATAGTGTGATAATTTATTAGCTGAAGAAAGGTCTGAAGAGGGTAGGGTGGAAAAGTTTTACAATATCTACCCAGTTCTTATTCATACAATTTTGACCAATATTTTTCAGGTATGTAATCAGTAATGTCAATTCAAAGATGTCTTTCGTACACAAATCACACGTTTAGTTGAGATAAAAGGGGACTTAATTAATTTTCAAAAAAGTAACAGCATTTGTCGGTCATAAAAATGTGTTTATTGCATTCTACTTGTCTATCGGAACACAGTGAACACATTTTCATTGACAGAATTTTGGTTCTAAACGAAAAAGCTGCTTTTGAATTTCCAAAATTAATTACGTCTCCTTTCCTCTCAATGATTGTGAGGATAGCCATTGTTACATGAAATACCGTTTCACAATTAGATTTTATCCCTTTTCTATATACGAGAAATGTAATGGTTAATTTTATACATCAGGCTGAAGATATAATCAACTTCCCTGAATCAATATTCTCTTGAAGAAAAATATTACAAATTGATTTTCATTCAAAACGTATTGGTTGTAAATGAACTTAGTTCAATCAATTAACTAGCATAAATTATATGAAATATCTTTAAATCACTGAGTTATTTATAGCACATAGTAATTTATAGAAATGTTATTTTTTAACTTCTGAAGGCCGATTAATAAAACCGCTGTACGGACAAGAAAATTTGCCGACGAAGAACGAGATCTTTTTGTCCATTGTCTTGCTCATTCTGTAAATTTGGTTCAACAAGACACAATCAAAAGATTTCCTATTTGCAGAGACCTTGAATCTGATAAAAGATATGATTAACTTTGTCAGAGATTCACCAAAAAAACTTGCCAATTTACAGACATTGAAATCTGTAGATTTGACGAACCTGCGACCTCTCTGCCCAACGAGGTAGACTGTGAAATATATGTCGCTCTCTTCTGTCCTATCAAATTATTCAGCTTTAGTAGAATTTTTCGTATCGTTGGCTGAAAATGGCGCTTCTGATGCTGGCTCTAAGGCATCTGGTTTTGACGTAGGGCTACGTCTGTGATTTCTATATGGGGGCAACCTTTGTGAAAGGCAAAAATAAAACATGTAACGAAATAATGAATGATTTTGAACGTTAATAGCTCAGCTGCCCCTGGATCAATGTTAATAATTTCAACACCAATCGATTAGAAATATGTCTACGCATCGATAGCAATGCTTCCGACCGTTGATTTTACACAATAAACTATTGAAAAGTTGTAAATTTCAAGCATTATCCAAAAACGTCTAAATAACTAACAAACCCACCAATTACATGCTTATGCTGCTTCCCCAACACAGTCATCAGAGAATGATTCTCTAATACTGTCATCAGAGAGTTGTGAGTAGACGAAACAAGTCGAAGTGGCAATTGCAATGCAATTGCGTAACTATTTGCACACTCATTACCATATTCAGAACCACACACCCCCAACAAACACACAAAATGCTCTCCAGAGTTGTAATCTTGTAACCAAACATGGAAGCAGGGATGCAAGTGATTTTGATCGATTCTCTTCATCGACTTTCTGTTTCTCGACGGCAAACACATTCAATGATACGTTTGTTGTTCTGGATGATAGGTCCCCACATGGTCATCAAAGAGGAAATCGACTTTCACCCCTCTGCTTCTAAGCCCCTTAATTCAGTCGTCGTCATAGCAATGAAAACTAGCATCGCACCGCTTTTGGTTCTTGGGTTACACTTGCTGGTTGCAATTCTGCTGTTCGACATTTTCGAAGGACCACCAAAAAAACATGAATTTGTAATGCCTAAAAGTCCAATTATTCGATTAACGATTAATCGAAAACATTTTTCCAGCTATTCGATTAAATCTTTATCGAATTTTCAATTATTCGAGCGCATTACCGACACCCCTTCTTATTTCTACTCGTTTGATTTAGCGCAGTAGAGAAAATAAATAAAAGTGCTAATTTATCTGAACAGGTATAGACAAGAACCATGACGTGAAACAGGATCATAAATTCACCGAAAAAAAGTGTTTAGCGTCTTTCTGCTAAAGACCAAGATTTACCAACTTGTTGAGAGAAATAGTTTAACGATAAAAACTAAAAAGGTGTGGAGCTTTAGCTGGGTGGACACTGATATTCTGCGGCTTTCCAACCTGTCGCAGACACCAGTTCAACCCCTGTCCAGCAGCAGACGGGCCGAAACTCTTGTGAGTGCCCAATAGTTGAACCGAAGAATATGGGATTGTCCGGTCCGATTTGCTGATCCAGCTGCCTACACGTCATCATCATCATCCAAAGGTTTTAAGCCTGTACTACCATCGGCCCTTTTCAGGGATCGGTGTTGATGTTGGCTCGCTGCTTGAAACTTTTTTTTGTGTGTTCGAAAGAAATTGATCGAAAGTGTACCAAAAGTGCTTCTGAACGTGTTTCGCAGAGTTGGGAGTGGTGAAGTTCGTAAATTCGCGGTTTATGTTCAGTGAAAATTCCGTATCACAAAATTGCTCAACGAGTTCCCTTTTTTTTTGCCGTTTGACGACGACGGGCATGCGAGAGAAAAATAAGCATTGGGAATGTACACCCGGCTGTATTGATTTGGTGAGTTCGTTCCAGTTGAAGATTGTTCTTATACATATCTCGATTGCATTTTCGAGGGGACGTCCGGAGAGCCTTGAGATTTAGGCGTTGTTGCTTTTGCGGCAGACGAGTTGGTCGCCGGTAAGGTCCAGTAAGTGCTGCCAGCAGATGAATTAAGAGGTATTCGAAACAAAATTGGTAAGAAATGTCCATTCAAATCGTTTTATTACAGTTAAACAAATTTCAAAACTATATACGTGCCAGATTTGGAAATAATATTTTTTGAATCTGGAAGTGTGTTTATGATACCATTATCCATTTGATAAAGGTAGAGTGAACATGCGGGGCTTATTGTAAGTAAAAGTGACCTCGGAGTGGTCGTGAATTACCAGGCATTCTGAAATGGGTCACTGGAGCTGCAATAGAGCTAACACCTTCTAACTCCCGGACTAAACCTGCTTTAATTGAAGGGTAATAAAAAGCAGTTTTCTTCCATAATAACACTGCCGGACAGTGGGGGTTAGATTGTACACACACACACACACACACACTACCATCGGCCCTTTTCAGGGCCACCAAGATTTTCCAGAAGAGTTAAATTTAAACTAAAATTCATGTCAAAAGATTCTTTTCAGGGCAACCATAGTTATACTAAAGAGTATATACAGAGAGAACCCCACTCAAATTCCTATTCCTACTCAAAACACTCTTTCGCCATTGCGTACAACCCATAGGGCTGCCCTTTGTAATTTTTGAGAAAGCTGGGGAAATTCGAATTCTACTTTATCTTGAACGTCATGGGGAAGATTTTTGGATACGTTGATACAGTGAATACAGCCTTACGAAAATCCTTACAAATTCCTGCGATTGGAGGAAGCGCACCGGATGGTCGAAACGCTGAAAGCCAGCCTAAGCTTCTCTAAAAAGGATTATGTTGAAATTTGGGAAAAAGTAACAAAAAACAGACCGGAAGAAGTTGGATCGCCGAAAGTCCCTGGAAGAAAAAGAAAATCCCAAGCGTTACGAAGCCGATTCTCCAACTGCGAGTACCTCAATCGAGTACATAGAAATTATTGACAAAGTCCGTTTTTATTGGAAGTTGAACAATTTATGCTGGGTGACGACACCAATAAGAAAAAAATATTAGTTTCTATGGAAATGACATCGATTTTGGTGCAAAGAGAGATGTGTGAACGATTCTCAAACGATTCCACAGATAAACCTATGAAACACACTTTATAGATGTTTTGCCGGAGTTTGTGAAGTTTTTAAGAATTTACCTTACAGTTTCCGTGTCGTCAGCTACTGCTGAGATGTTTTTTAAGGGTATTATGCCACTTAAGACCTATCTACGTTCAACCATGGGACAGCAAAGGCTGAACTCCATTTCTTTATTAAATTTTCAACAGGAAATGGCTAAAGGTCTCGATTTAGATGTCATCATGAACGAATTCATTAATAAGAATATTGAAAGGCAGGCAACGGCTAATATTTCAGATAATTTGAACATAAATCACTTAAAATTCTAGATTTGTCATTGAACTGAAGTAATAATTCAGCTTGGTTCAAGAAAGAGAGACACTGCAAATAAGAAACCGTTTAGTAAATGTTTATTCAAGGGTTGAGATTGCCGGTATTACTAAAAAAAAAAAAAAAAAAAACAAAAAAGTTCTATCAAAGCCCCAACGCTCATATGGATCCATAGATATTCGCACTCGTCACGTTTAAACCTTTTAACATCGAATAAATACGAACACTTTCTCCGGATTCCATCCATCGACCCGTATCAATATTGAAACACGTTCAGCAAAACAAAAAGCACGGGGCGTCGGAAAAATCCTCCTCCGCTCATTCACTCACTCACTCACCTTGCTTTCGTCATGTGTGTCTGCTGCCTGCGAGAGTTTACCAGGCGTATCCACCGAGGATAAGTCCTTGGTCCTGCTTTGAACAACACCTCTCCGTCCGTTTGCCCCACCAAACGTCTCGTGGTGGTGGTGGGAAAACAGTCAACCAGCACACTCTCTTCTCCTTCTTCCCGCTGCTAGCCAACTCCGGAATCAGCAAGGATAACGTAAATACGACGCCAGAAGAGAATGCACACACACTTAATTTAAATTCAATACGATCACGTCCCCGGCGGAGGATTTCCCTATTTGCAATATTTTCCCAGCATTCATCGCCTCCCAAGAGTCGTCTGGCAAGTTGTTATCCTTGTACTTTTAAGCTTCACCGCACAATTTGGATTTTTTCCATTTTTTCTCTTTTTCTCTCGCTTTATTGGTGTAGTTTTTTACCCGTTTCCGTACCAACCCAACTTATTCTAAAAAAATATTAACATTCCTTCAGGGTACAACTTTTCATTACCGAACTAACGCAGAAAAAAGCTCGCTCTCAATACTGCTACTGCACCCTGGAGATGTAATTCCGCCTTCCGCTTCTACTGCTTATCCTGCTGGTACTGGATGGATGCTGGCCAAGTCCTTGATATTTCTCACATTACACTGCTATTTATATCCCCAGTCTCCATTAGCAATGAAAGCCTCGAACAACTTTGAGTAATTATGGCTAGCAAACTTTTCTCCTCTTCAAAGAGATCCACGCCAGATCCTTTGCCACTTATATCCCCATACATCACTTATCACTGAACTATAATACCCCCTTGCCTGCTTGCTGCTGGTATTCAAAGTATTCTAAAGCTCTGTTTCATCTCGCAACGAGGAACACGTCTTTTCGCGACGATCTCCAGGCTCCAACTAACCAACCGGAACCTCGTTCTGCTGGCTCCAACAGTCCTCCGTAGCCAGCACCCATCTCACGTCACATCTTCTCCGTACCGAAAACGATGCACTTTGTCACGCACGAAAAGTAAAAGTCCTGCTAGAATGTTACATCCCTTCCACAGCATCCCCCTGCTGTTCAAAGCGGAAGAAGGTTAAATGGTTCATCGATAGGCATAATTTGTAGACATATAATAACTGTCAGTACTCGCAAAAGCGTTGTAGGACAAACAGTCCTATAATCAGTGCTGCAAAATCTCACGGGGATATTCAAAATTCTGCTTTGGTCACTCATTTGAGCTAACAGTCATCGTCAAAGCAAACCATGTCAATTGTCAATGACAATAATGCTGTCAGTGACGAACATGTGCAGATTTTTTTGTTAGCCCATCTTGAAACGAATTTAAATTAGTTGAGCAAAACAATTAGATGAAGCCGTTAAATTGAACAAGCATCTACGTCAAGTCTATCAGTGACTATGTGAAATACAATTTTGTTAATATCGCGCGAAAGTCTGTCAATGCACGACAATGACAAATATCAGCACTGCATTGGGACAGCCATACACTCAAAAAATTTCACACGTCATCATCATGTGCCTCACACTTAATTTTGCGCTTATTGTGAAACACATCCATTTCATGTGTGAATCTTATGCTTTGAACCATGCCTCGAAACTATTGGTTCGAATTGTGACGCACTTGGATTCTATGTGCCTCACATGATGATATCAATAGCTTTGTACATCATAGTTCAATGCTCTACAATATTCTACTTTATCGACTTCTACTTTACCGACTCAATATTAAATCGACAAATATATAAACAAAACTGCCAAAGGGTAGAGCATACACATGCCTTTTAATTAATGGGTCTGATTTGGGAATTGATCCTGAACTGTTGGGGTGTGCTGCTGCAGCTGTCTTCGTTCGATCTCACTGGTCCATGGTTGTTCTCATATATGAAGCTGGTTGGCAAGTATGAAGTCACAACTCATGTTTTCAATGTTTACCTTGCAGAACAAGCATTTCACACCGCATTGAAATGCAAAACACTTCAAATCCATCTGTTTTGAACAGTAGTGCGATTCAATGTGCAATACACTTGAATTGATAGAGAAAGATTGTCAACATTTCAAAGTTTGAACACATTGAACCATGGTGAAATACACTTAAAATAAATGTGATTGTGCAAATAAAATATCAAGTGTTCAAACAGTTAGATCAGACGTGTGTAGTTTTTTGAGTGTACCATAAAACCACTCAATTTCGCTTTCAGAGTTCAGATAATTTCTTATTCGCGAGCGCTCACTCTGAGTGAACGCTCACGAATCATAAAATCGTTTATTGTGTTTCTCTGAAAGCGGAATCGACAGATTTTTAGTGACAAACACATACTTTTCAACCTCTTCTTGCAACTTACAAGTACAAAATACAATTATAAAGGGTGTCCTACATCAAATTGCATCACGAAAAAAAACACTGTAGAAAATTACCCATTGGGTATTTTCTCTTAAAACTTTGGATAGAAGTTGTTTAGAGTGTATTGTTTACACTGTATTTTTATCGCTGTCAGTTTTTCGAAAGTTGGAAAAAAGGGCGTCACCCGAAAAGCAACGTCACAAATTGACGTGCAGTCAACGGTGAGTCGTGTGAATAAGTGTTACTATGAAACTCTGAGCATCGAACGGAAGGAGAAATGCGGTCAGAATGGCTGTTCTATTAGCGATCAGGATCACAAGCTTGTCGTGAAAGCGTTTAAGCGGAATCCCAATGCTTCGGTCAGGAATGTGGCCAAAAAGTTGAATCTGTCCAAGTCTTTCATTCAGAGAGCCATGGACCGGAAGAGACTGCATACGTACAAAGTGCAAAAGGCTTCAAATCGGGACGAACGGCAAAATACCGTGGGAAAGTCACGGATCCGGAAACTGGACACCCAGATGCTGATGAAGCCTCATTGTCTCACGGCAGCTTGGGGCTACTGTTCTTCACCGCCCAGCACAATTTTGATGTTCCGGAGGAAGTAAGGAAGCAGCAACTTTCAAAGTTTGCTAAAAAATACATGATTTGGCAAGCGATCTGCTCATGTGGCAAACGGAGTGCACCGTTCGTGACTACCGGGACTGTAAACGGGGAGCTCTACCTCTAGGAGTGTCTACAGAAGCGTCTTCTTCCTCTGTTGAAGCAACACGAGGGCCCTACGATCTTCTGACCGGATCTAGCTTCGTGCCACTATTCAAATGTTTTTTTCCTTTGATTTGTTTTCCGTCGATTTTGTTTTCCGTGCTGAGCACCAATGCTACCGACGCCAGGAAGGCAGCTCCCACACCTGGACCCTACCTATCGACCCATCAACTCATGAACCGGGGACCAGCGGCTTTACTTCCCTTCCGAAACTATTCAAATGTTGTCCTGGAGTAGTACGAAGCCAACGGGGTCACTTTCATACCCAAGGACATGAACCCCCCCCCCCCCCCCCCAACGCACAAGAACTAAGACCCACCCAAGAAAACTACAAGAGGCAGCCCTATGGGGTTGTACGAAATGGTGACGTAGGACTACGTGGTCTTATATAATAATTCTTATTAGTTAATTGCAGCAGGAGCTTGTGTTTTGTGTAGAAATAGGAATTTGAGCGGATTTCTCTCTGTTTATACTCTTTAGTATGAAGCACTTAACATAGATGACCCACAGCAACTCACGAAGAGCTACGGATTCCGATCAATAGCGGTGCGGCTTCTTCCTTCTTCTATGGATGCTCATGTGGGCTGCAGCTTGCTGTTTGCAGGCAGCCTTTCGTTGTGTACTGGAGAACACCACCCCTAACCACGCGCGGTGATTGAATAAACATCGTTTGGTGAGACCGGATGCAATTCAACTTTGAAATCTGTGTTAGGGAAATCGCTTTTCGCTTTTTCGGTGATAATTTTAATTATCATAGCAACAGTTGCACATTCGTGCAATTTTTAATAGTGACATTTTGAAAAACGACGTCTTAATTTTAACAGATTTGTAGAAAAAATTCCCAACGATTGACATAGGGGAAATGACGGCTTCGGCATGCCAGACTATTTTCGGCAACCCAAATTGAAACACTATTTTCACTGGATTTTCTTACGAAAACACTTCGCTGAATGCATGCAAACGATTCTTTATGCTTTCAGCACAGACAAACAGACATAACACATTGAATATTTCTCACTGTAAAACATCGTCGCTAAAACATTACCGCCATCTGTTGAGTACACTGTGGTGGGTAGTACCATAGAGGTAACTCTAAGACCACTGGGTCCCGAAGAAAATCATTATTATTTTTGGCTCACTCAGTACCAGAACAACGGTCCCAAGCAGTCCCAAGCTATTTCACTCACCCCTGCATGTTCTGCATGAATCCACACACCCCTGATGTTATCTGTCAAACTTTCATAGCGAATCAAAACAAACATAGTGTAGTAATAGAATTTCAACAAGAATAGGGTACGTTAATCGTTTGCTTGGGACCAATAGGCTACTAAAGTGGTGAGCCAATTTAAAATCGTTAGTTTCGTATTGATTGTTGGTAGTACGCTGAACAGATGGCGGTAGTGTGCAAACGTCAAACACAAGGGCATTGACTATGCGCGCCACAGGTGGCGGTGCTACCAACTATGATACTTTTAAATTGACCGTTAAATGCTTGTTCGATGAACAACTTGCGAGTGTTATGTCTGTTTGTCTGTGCTTTCAGCTTCAATTTGACTATATTTTTACCACTGAGAAAAAGCAATCTAGCAAGGTTTTCTTGAAATGCAACACACGCACTACAAATTGTAGCTGATTTCGAGTTGCCGATAATAGAACAGCAGATTTACATGCAGTTCAAATGGAACGGTTGCCGAAGAAAAACTGGTTACCGACAATACTCGCTCTCACTAGAGAAGATTGGAGCTTTGTAAAAGCGTTTCAAAACAGTTTTTGACAATTCTTTCGACTGAAATTGTTAGAGCAGCTGGCAGCAAAAGATTGTAAACAAACCAATACTGCATATGTGTGCGTTCCTTAGAGAAAAAGGCTATAGAAAGAAGGTCGCTGCTTAGGTTGCCGAGAATACGTAAATTCCCCTATTAAGAATTAAAATCCATCATCTCTGGATCACTTTCATGCCGCGACCGACGTTGGTTTTTGAAATCGTACCCCACAATGTTGCCTTACAGTTCATGGTATGTTAGATTTAAACATATCTAGATAGAGCTGGAATTAGGCGTAACAGCTTTTGTAAACAATGACTTCTCTCGATGATTTTTAGGAATTCAAGGCACGCCCACGCGAACCATTATTACCGTCGGGTTGAGGAAGTCTTACCCTACCTGATGGTGCTGTTGATTTGCGTGGGCGAGCCTTGACTTTCAAGACATCATCGAAAGAAGTCATTGTTTACAAAAGCTGTTACGCCCTAATTACAGCTCTATCTTGATATGGGAACTGACATCCGATTGATGACCTTGACAAACGTTCAAACACCGTTTGAAATCTGTGTTAGGGAAGTCGCTTTTTGCAGGCAATTGGTGATAATTTTAACGATCAATGCAACAGTTGCACATATTGACACTTTGAAAAATGATAAAGTTTTAAATTTAACAGATGCGTAGCAATATATCTCATCGATTGGTGATAAAGTTATTGAAATTGGTCCAGGGGCAGCTGAGTTATTAAAGTTCAAAATCTTTCATAATTTTGTTACATGTGCCATTTTCGGTTTTGACAAAGTGTATCCCCATATAGAAATCACAGACGTAGTCCTACGTCAAAAACTGGGCTATTATGAATCAGGCACTACGGAAGAATCCCAAGGAAGTCAAATCTGAGGAAGACATCAAGAAAAAGTGGGTTTCCGTACAGAAGAAGCTGCAGCCAGATGTTTTACAGAACCTAATGAGTGGAGTTAATCGTAAGGTGCGATCGTACGGTTATGGTATTGAAGTTGAATGAAATAAATATTCCAAAAGCTTA